AACTGACAGGAACACACCCGAAAAAGAAGGTACAGGTCTTCTGTGAGGTCTTGAACAAAATTCATATCTGCTAGTTGAGGTAAAACAAGGTCTGATATCTCATCCATAAATGGCTCCTTCGCTTGTGGTAACCACGCCCAATAAAATGGGTCTGCCAAGAAAAAAATGACTTATGAAACACGATTTATATATGTCCGCAGACAGTCGCAACATAGTGTACATGTAGCGGTAAGTTGTTTTTTTACTTAATTGACAAAGACTGAAAGGATGAAAAATAGTGATTCACCAGATGAAAATGTATAGCAACAACTGGAAGCAAATTGATCCTGGACTTGTATTGTTACTTCAACACAAAATGTGCAAATTAAATGCACTCTAGATTATGCCATGAACTTACATGCTCTCCAAGAGTCTGGATGCTTAAAAGGGAATGCCAGTCCATTGTCAATAGCAGCAACATATATTTTAGGAGGATCCACATAATCCCAGTCTCCCTGCATGGAAAGAATTTANTCATTGAACATTAGCCTTTTTGCATCTCATCTTTCCGACGAGGAGTGAGGAAAATGTCTAGTTCAAACACCTTTTCAAATTATCTACCTGTTTGATGGGAGAGAATCTGTCTAAATATGCACAGAAGCAGGAGAGAGGATAGGAAGAAAAAAACAAAACTACATTGAAGAATGAAAGGATAAATGGATGAACAAACAAACAAATGAGGCCACTAATAAAAATCTTTTACCAAATGACAAATTACTGTAGATTGAGACTCAGCAGCCCATAGTGTACCTGTATTCCTAATAATGTAATCAAGACAAACAAGTTTTTGAAATTGAAATAGAAAATCTTTGTTAGTAGCAGCAGGAAGTGGTTCCACTTCCATCTTTCTGAGGTGAAACTCGGCATCTTTGTAGCCTTCTACAAACAACTGAAAAGATCCAAGCTGAAAAATAGAGAAAACAATAACGCATTAAAATCTTGCACAGAGACAATGTAAGCTGGACAAGTTTTAGACTGGAAAAACAAGTGCCTTGGACAAAATATTGAGTTTGACACTATGATAACAAATGACATACAAGAAACAAGAATATTTAGCTACTGCATGTCTGTACATGTAACTCTATGAGAACCTCTTATGTCTGA